GCCACATTTTCAAGCCAACGGTTGACAGTCATAAAGCTCCTGGGAATTTTTTACAAGAGACTGTACTGGTTGTGGAGTATCTAGGTAGTGAGAAGAAGGCACGAGATACCACAGTCAGTATAATTTAAAAGTATCTCTCTCTGAATGCAGAGTCTAAGCAGCCCGACAGCCCCCCCCTCCCCCAGGCTTTGCTGTGGCTCCAGAGACCAAGAGGGGAGTAGGCACAGACTAAAAACCTTGCTGACAGTCTGAGATGGCAAACACAAACCAAAGCACAGTCTCGTGACAGGATAATGGGTTGTGTCTGCTACCCTTAGAACTTGGATAAATGTACACAATTCTACCTGGAATGCTCACGCATCTTTCTTTTAAAAGATGACTCAATGTGAGGTCGAACACGAAGGCAAGATTTGAAAAAAGGCTTGTAAAAAATCTTGGACCAGAAATTTGCTCTTGGGAAACAACTTTTGATGGTGTCTATATTCGAAACACGCGGGCTAATTTTCTTTGAAACACAGCAGTTCACATTTAAACAGGAACAGTACTTAGGAAAAATGTGTTACATGTTCAGGCAGACTAAAACCATTCCCTGGGGGTGGGGGTGCCAGGTTGGAAATACTAAAAGTGAATCATTCACCGACCCCCTAGTGGCATGCTCACCATGCAAGGCAGTGTTAGCAAGGACATTAGAGTGGGGACAACAACAGCATATGCTTTCTAGCGTAATGAACGCTAAATAACTGATGGGCCAATATTGACTGCTTTACTTGTGGGAGTGTTTATTTGTGTGTAGAAGTGAAGAAGAAATAATCAATGAATTAGAACAGAGGACAAAGGGGCAAATGACAGACAAAGGCAAAGTGAAGGTAGGGCTAAAATATTCAAGAATGTTCACAAAATTATTACAAGTGTCCAATGACCTGCATCAGAAAGTCCCCATACAGTTTATGGCATTTAACTTGTTCAACTGAGCATTCTGTGGACTTGGGCAAGTCATCAAAGTCTCTGTGTAATGAGCTGGCTGACCAACGGCTCCTCCCATCATTTGACTACACACAACAACTAGAAAAACACACACATTTGCATTTTCCTCGAGAAGTATTTTAAACTTTAGCAAGTCTTTTAAATTTTTCATTAGGGCATTCATTTCCCACTAAAAAGATCCTTGCATTTGAAAGCATTTTACCATTAGCTCTAAAAATACTTGTACAAACTTCTACCTGGGCGTGGAAGAGTGATAAGCTCCTGACAGTGTGTAAAGGGATCAACACTTTCACCAGAAACTGTTTGTGTTCTGCCTTAAGAGGTAAAGCAAAGCCATTGATAATACTAGGGAAAAAGAAAAGAGACACGAATTAGCAATGTTACCACAACAAACTAAACCAGGGTTCTCATTAGGAAGGTTGAGAACGGAGACAAATTGTCCTTGTGAGATTGGTTAAGTCTTACTAAGTTCATATTGGTCAATAACCATCCCAAACCCACCCCAGTCCAATTCAGGGCTTCTTAGACAGTTCAAAACAAGGACATTTAAGAGAAGGAAAAACAGGGTGGAGAGCACCCAGTAAAAGCTCTGTGCTGTAAAACTTCGTAGGATGATCCCCAAAGCTATGGTATCGAAACCTTTTATTTTTCTCCCCCAAAGAACTGCCCACTTTTGCTCACTTCCTCTTTAAAGATCGCTCTTTCCATCTCCAGACATCATTCCCTTCCCATTCCTGAAATTTCTATCTAGACCCAAAGTGCCAATGGTTCACCGTCGCTGAGGCATAACCCTCATGCCTTCGCCTTCTTCAGTCCACATACTAGGAAGGCTCACGACTCCCAGGTTGCTGTCCACAAAGAAACCTAGTTTCTAACCTTTCACAAAAGTGGCTCCTGATCTGGTGTCTAGCTGAGCTCACTGCCAAGCCAAGAGGCTCATTCACCCAAAACAACGTTACGCAGCAAGTGGCTGGCTAGGTTTCAGCAATAGTACAAATGCCTGTACATCACACACCTCCAGGATCACTAGAGAGCAGCTGGAATTACAGGCCTGCTCTACACTTTAAGATCCCACCTACATTATGTGGCACTAGGGAAGCTTTGTCTAGCTTCCAGCGCCAGCAACAGCAAAGTGTGCACAACATACAGGGAAGGTGGCATACACAGAGTCTGGTCTAGGCTTAGCTGGGGCTGAATAGCAGAGCTGTCAAAAGCCTAGGGGGTCCGGGAGTCAGGAGGACAGGTTGTGGCCTACTCACTGAACCTAGCAGGCTCACTGTCGAAGCCTCGAGATGACAGGCAGTAGTATAAGAGTACTTAAAAGTCCTGCCTCAGAGCACTAGCTAGATGAGGGCTCCGTGAGATGAGGCACTGTCCAGCATGCTTAGCCCAGGGCCGGGCGCCCGGTTAGCTCCTCTGTCAACTATGAACACACACTGACGCTCTACACTTACCTCCTTTTGACTACATGTTTTGGGCCAAAACTTCATCAACCCCCTAATAACCTAAAAGAGAAAAAGAGATGGCATTGTAGTTTCCATACAGATGCCTAGGCAAAAGTGGTCTTTCAGAGATTTTATGAAATGATGGTGATACTACTTACTGGTTCTGTGAGGGAAGGATCTTTCTCCAGAAATTGTACTATGCAATATGCCAGCTAAAGAAACACAGAGTAAGGTACAATGATAAGTTTCATATACTAGACAGTCAAAAAGGCAAATTGTTATGATTTCCTAAAAAGTTCCAGATTTTGGTTTTCATAAATTCACATTCAATTCAACACACACACACACACACACACACACACACACACACATCACATCACAGAATAAAAAGCCACATTTTCAAGCCAACGGTTGACAGTCATAAAGCTCCTGGGAATTTTTTACAAGAGACTGTACTGGTTGTGGAGTATCTAGGTAGTGAGAAGAAGGCACGAGATACCACAGTCAGTATAATTTAAAAGTATCTCTCTCTGAATGCAGAGTCTAAGCAGCCCGACAGCCCCCCCCTCCCCCAGGCTTTGCTGTGGCTCCAGAGACCAAGAGGGGAGTAGGCACAGACTAAAAACCTTGCTGACAGTCTGAGATGGCAAACACAAACCAAAGCACAGTCTCGTGACAGGATAATGGGTTGTGTCTGCTACCCTTAGAACTTGGATAAATGTACACAATTCTACCTGGAATGCTCACGCATCTTTCTTTTAAAAGATGACTCAATGTGAGGTCGAACACGAAGGCAAGATTTGAAAAAAGGCTTGTAAAAAATCTTGGACCAGAAATTTGCTCTTGGGAAACAACTTTTGATGGTGTCTATATTCGAAACACGCGGGCTAATTTTCTTTGAAACACAGCAGTTCACATTTAAACAGGAACAGTACTTAGGAAAAATGTGTTACATGTTCAGGCAGACTAAAACCATTCCCTGGGGGTGGGGGTGCCAGGTTGGAAATACTAAAAGTGAATCATTCACCGACCCCCTAGTGGCATGCTCACCATGCAAGGCAGTGTTAGCAAGGACATTAGAGTGGGGACAACAACAGCATATGCTTTCTAGCGTAATGAACGCTAAATAACTGATGGGCCAATATTGACTGCTTTACTTGTGGGAGTGTTTATTTGTGTGTAGAAGTGAAGAAGAAATAATCAATGAATTAGAACAGAGGACAAAGGGGCAAATGACAGACAAAGGCAAAGTGAAGGTAGGGCTAAAATATTCAAGAATGTTCACAAAATTATTACAAGTGTCCAATGACCTGCATCAGAAAGTCCCCATACAGTTTATGGCATTTAACTTGTTCAACTGAGCATTCTGTGGACTTGGGCAAGTCATCAAAGTCTCTGTGTAATGAGCTGGCTGACCAACGGCTCCTCCCATCATTTGACTACACACAACAACTAGAAAAACACACACATTTGCATTTTCCTCGAGAAGTATTTTAAACTTTAGCAAGTCTTTTAAATTTTTCATTAGGGCATTCATTTCCCACTAAAAAGATCCTTGCATTTGAAAGCATTTTACCATTAGCTCTAAAAATACTTGTACAAACTTCTACCTGGGCGTGGAAGAGTGATAAGCTCCTGACAGTGTGTAAAGGGATCAACACTTTCACCAGAAACTGTTTGTGTTCTGCCTTAAGAGGTAAAGCAAAGCCATTGATAATACTAGGGAAAAAGAAAAGAGACACGAATTAGCAATGTTACCACAACAAACTAAACCAGGGTTCTCATTAGGAAGGTTGAGAACGGAGACAAATTGTCCTTGTGAGATTGGTTAAGTCTTACTAAGTTCATATTGGTCAATAACCATCCCAAACCCACCCCAGTCCAATTCAGGGCTTCTTAGACAGTTCAAAACAAGGACATTTAAGAGAAGGAAAAACAGGGTGGAGAGCACCCAGTAAAAGCTCTGTGCTGTAAAACTTCGTAGGATGATCCCCAAAGCTATGGTATCGAAACCTTTTATTTTTCTCCCCCAAAGAACTGCCCACTTTTGCTCACTTCCTCTTTAAAGATCGCTCTTTCCATCTCCAGACATCATTCCCTTCCCATTCCTGAAATTTCTATCTAGACCCAAAGTGCCCATGGTTCACAGTTGCTGAGGCAAAACCCTCATGCCTTCGCCTTCTTCAGTCCACATACTAGGAAGGCTCACGAATCGCACTGCCTAGCCAGCAGGCCTCTCCCGTGTGCAGAAAGCCACCCAACAGCTGTTCCTTTCTCATTCGTCCCACTATTCCAGGCAGCAGTTGCTTAAGAACGACACCAGGGCCAACGTTTTTTGAAAGTCCATCTTTTAAAATGTATTACTAACTTGGCTTTCAAAAGACACAGCAATAAACTGGTAGCCTGGGCATTAAAGAGAGTAAGAGGTTTGGTGGGAACTAGGCGGACTGCTATTGGATGTACTGGCTCCGCAGTAGTGAATGAATGAGGACTGCTGTAGTCATCCGTGTGTAATCAGGATTGTATGATGGTTAGACACAGAGAACAGGGGAGGATGTCCATAAAGTCAGTTGGGATACATGCTAAGCACAAATGAGTAAACACACAGTAAAACTTCTGGGTCAGCATTTCTACCGCGCCACCTGAACCGAACTTTCAGAACACTATTCTCCTGAGATTAGCAGTTAGATTAAAATGTGCTTACCTTCCTAATATTTCCAGCAGCTCAGCTACTCCATTGAAGTGTTCTGTTTCATAAACAAACCTGTTTTAAAACAACAGGAGGCAGGTCAGTACAATTAAGTTCAAATGCCTGCATTTACCTAATACATCTGTGAAAACAACAACGTTTCTTCTCGCTCTCTCCCCGCCCTCCACTTACCTTAGAAAAATATTGTTAATCTGTTTTCGGATAAATGCTCTAAGACCAAGAAACTTGCCGTAAATTCTGTGTAAGACTGTTTTTAAGTAGTCCCGTTCCCGAGGGTCTTCACTGTCAAAAAGCTCCAGGAGCTGCAGTGATCAAAAGACAGGAGGGTGGTCAAAGGTGGATTCAGACAGGACTTAGAAACCCTGTCACTCCGTACCCCTCCCTTCCCTCAAAAATGGAGGTAGTGTCCATTAGTCTGTGCCAGGGATCATTTCAGTCTCTGGAGTACCATGATAAATCAGTCCTCCAAGAGGTTTATAGTTTCATGAATGTACACAAGAACCGTAACAAGAATACTTAACACAGTGTTGTCAGACACTGGTGAAAGCCATCTACGTTCATCCCCTCTATGGGCTACTTTTATCCTTAGTTTACCAGTGAGGAAACAGGCACAGGAAGGTTAGGTAAACTTGCCTGTGGTCTCCACAGTAATAGGTAATGGAGCAGGGATTTAAACCCAGGCAGACCAGGCTCTGGAGTTGATGTTCTCTGCTACTGGACAATGCTAGGTCTCTGAGCTTACATTCCAAATAGAGTTAAGATAAACCTTCAGCTTGATGAAAGAATACAGGGAAACGGAGCCATCGAAGCCCAAACAAACATCACAACGGCCCCTGTGATACAGGCAATGCTGACTCTCTGGAGCTGGTGCGTTATACAAGTGTGCTCACTGTAAATATTCATCAAGGTGAATATGTAGGGATTGCTGCATGTGATACTTCAATAACATTTCTTCTAAGTTCTCAGTCATTTCTGATCTAAAGTCCCAATAAGATCCCATCTGGGCATTTCAAAGGAAGACCATGCAATGCAGCCAACGAGATAACAAGCTAAAATCTCAGGCCCCATGGCAGACAAAGGAATCCCTCCCATCAGACTCCTAGTTGTACCGGCAACGGCACCAGCGCGAGCCCGAGCCCCTTCCTTTTGGGGTAGAAACTGTGAAGCCAACACCAATTCTCACGCGTACACAAAGGACCCAAAACAATCATGAAACCGGCTATTTCCCGATTTCAAAATA